ACCCTGAGTAAACACAGGAACCGTGTGGTGTCAGGGGGAGCATTCCCTCTCATCCACTCGTTGGTTGTTTTGAAGATGTCTGCGAGGCTTGCTTGTGGAGCAGGGCCTGTCGGCCGCTGGTTAAGGTACCTGTAAAGTTGTGCCTCTGCGTCTGTCCACGTACCGTGGTTCGGTTTGTGCAAGCCGTACCGGAGGAATTGTTCCTTGACCCAATCCTTCCGCTCTCTGTGTGCTGTGCGCTGCGGGCCTCGTCCGCCGTGTCGGGACCAGGTCTGTTGTGGAGGTTGCTGGTGTCGCGGGGTGCTGTCGGTGCCCGGGTCTGGTGCCCTCTGCTGCTGGTGCTGGGCTGAGGTGGAGTGGGTCTGGTGGGGTGTGTTGTTTGGGCGTCGGGCTGAGCTTCCGTGGTGGCTGCCGGCTGGGTCTGCTGTGTGTGCTGCGGGCGTGGACCCTCTCTCTCTCTCTCTGTCTCTTTCTTTCACAAGGCCTGTCTCTTTCTCTCTCTCCAAAAAAGAGAACTCAGGCAAGCGGCATCTCCTTCACAGCCCGGCGGATCCTTGTCTTCCGCACGACTTCTCTTCGCGAACGGCCAAGTGACAGTTACGCACTGCCGGACATCAAGTCGATGATCCAATCAACATGGGCAGCAAGGTAAAGTTCTACTCCCGGCACCAACTGCAGCTATGGGTCTGCTCCACCACCGAGATGGGGTTCCCTGCCTCCTTCTGGGTCCGGCCGTAGGACTCCTCGACTTTGTGCATGTGGAAGGACAGCCCTTCACCCTTTCAACCATGGCGGACCGCTTGGGTGTACAAGCCCGAGCAGCAAAGATCAAGCCAAACAGAATGCCGAACAGCAGATTCAGCACCTAGGCTGACCGATTTTAGGGCTCAAGGCATTGCTGATTGGAGTGCTGCCTTCATGCTGCCTCTTATCCCGGACATGAAGTGCTCTCCGGCTTCCGACACCAACGCCCACCAAGAGCTCTCGAAATGGAAAGGCGTTTCAACTACCCATTAAGAAAAAGGCTTTAACAGGCCGGCATCCATGACGTTCAGCTCGGAAAATGTGTCTGGGATCACTTTGACACAGGGTTCCTGCTGTGCCTTTTCGTGTCTTCGGGGCTAACATCGACATTATCGAGAGCTCCATTTGCCAAGGTCGGTAATTCGGCAACCGACAGCTAGGAGCTTACTTCACTCCAACTCCGAGACTCGCAACCGCAATGAGCAGCAGACAATCTCTACAGCCCAGCCTAAAAAACCTGGCACCTTGTTAAAGCCGGTGTCATCAGCTTGCTTTACTCCATGCTGCGTGTGAAACATTTTCATACCGGCACACGGTTTCAGGTTTTACCTCGAGAACTCGTATCGAAGGGGAAAGACCTATGCCTGGCGCCCCAAGCAGGCCAGAGAATCGCAAAGACAGTTGAGAGAGGAGACGGCACACCTTCTTCGTAGAACTCCTGTCCGCCTCAGACCGAACTGCCCCCGAAACAAATAGACTCAAATACCGGCCGGAGCTGCCAATGCTTTGTCGCCAGCAGCAGCTAGTCGGGCTCGATTGCGGAACGTTTAGATTGCTCCAGTGTTCGTTGCCGAACAGTCTCGGAGCAAGAATCAAACATGCTGATAGTCGGCTGTAACATGGCAGGGGGTTTATATTATGGCCACTCGAGTGCGGCCTGAAAGTCTTGCACGCTGTTGTTTCCAAACGTCCCTTTGCGACCTGAGTGCCGCACCAGGAACTCGTACGATAAAGTGTAGGTGTAGCCGAGGATCTCAGTATGCAAGATGGAAACTAACGTCTCACCTGCGAGCTCAATTTCGTGCGTTACGGATCGAGCAATTTTGTGATGCAGAATGCCGATGCTGCGGACTCCTGTTCAAGCACGGGACTCGGCCAAGCAAATCGAGGTCTTCCATGTCGCCAACTCCCACACCACCTCAGTCCCAAGATCCGTCGCAAGGTATGCTTTCGCCGCTTCGGTCACACCTAGCCTTCAAGTTTAGTTTCTTGTCGGCTATAAAGCCTTGGTACACAGGGGCAGATGGCTCTTCAACTGGGATTCAATCCTGTATGACCCGCGGATTTTGAACTCATCCAGCCAACATGTTTAATGCGTCCTTTGTACGTTGGGTCTCTGGCGATGATGTAACCCTACATAGATGCATTCAGCTCGAATGCAGCTTGAAACTGCATGCAACGTGGTGAGCAAGGTCAACATCTCCGTTCATTTGAGACAGAACCTGCCCCTTTCGCATTCAGTCCTTCTCCAGAAGGTGATGGTGGATTTCCACGTTTTCACTCGGAACAATATGGCAAACAAAGCAAGGCACGCGCGGCATCGCGACAGGAACATGCTTGAAGTTGTGAGTTTCACGAAGCTGTAGCACAACTTGACATCAGGCTCATCGACTTTATTCACGAATACACAGTGTGCTGCCGGACCCATTTGTCAAAGACGGAGGTGCGTACCCTGATGTTCATGCCCGAACACTGGACCAGCGCCAGAAGATGGCACCCAGCATCCTTGGCACGACCAAACATGTTGTGCCCAGAATAATGTCTCTAACTAGAGGTCCTCATAAATTGGATTCTGCATTAGAGCTAGGCTAAGGTCCCCGATTATCATGATACTGCCATGCCTCGCGACGCAGGCTTTACCACATTGCTGTACGCAAAAGGGCAAAAAGAGGAACTTCCAGGATGCCCACATTGCAGGAGGATCTTCTGGCCGAGCTGCGTGCTGCAACCTTCCGTATCCTTCCCGAAGAAGATCTCGGGAGAATTGCAGCGGCTTCGAGGTTTTGAAGCAGGCTTCCAAGTTACGAAGTGTATTTTAGGCCACGACTTTCATGCGCAGGGTTGCTACGACATGCTGAAACATCTGCCGGCCCCGCATCACTGAGAACTCTGGAATGTCTCAAACTCCGACGGCAGCCAATGTCTGGGGCTCGAACATGACCGCTCCAAGAGTAGCCTGATCTCGAACACATGAGTCTGGCTTTGCTCGGTGCACGAGAGCTCCCCAAAGAGTATCGGAAGACATCTACAGCAGCTTCCACTCCCTGCCAATCTAGTCTTCCTAATCTTCAACTGAGAGGCAGAGGAAGATGGTCAAGAAGACAATACCAAAGTGAGACACATCCTGAGTCAGACGTCGAGAACCACAGCCAAGGCAAAGCGTGAAGTCCCAGTCCCAGCTTCTTTAACAGAGCCCGACAAAGTCGTGATGACAACGTCCAGCTGAGCATTTGCCTTGAAGGACCTCGGATCCGGCCCCTCAGAATGGGACCAAGACCAAGACTTGAAGCTCTCCCACAAAAAACGCTATCGATTGGAATCGCGTCCGTGCTGAAACCAAGCGACTTGAAGAACTTCATCATCAGGACGAAGAGGTACAAGACGCAGAGCTTGGTTGCTGTTTGCGGTAGAGAGCACAAGGATGACAGCTGATTTGGAAGTGCTCTTTGGAGATTTATCATCCACCCCACAGAGAAACAAAAATGGCGTCGAGCGGCCATTCGAACTGCCTCATGCCAAATGGAAGCATCCTCAACGAATGCCAGAATGTTTTGAAATCTGAGTTCGTTTGGTGTCCTAGGCCCTAAGCAGTATCCGCAGACCGGCCTGGCATGCCTGCATCATGCTCTCCAGCAGGGCCTCATACTCCGGCCGTGGCATCATAATATTCACCTCATCAGCTCGGAGGCAACACCGCTGCACGTTGCCTCTTACGGTGAGCTCAACAACAACAAGACGAAAACCTGCAAAGGGAACTCGATTCCCAGAAGAAAAAATCAAGCTTGCATCCGTGCAGCCTCCCATCTCTGCATGAAGGTGTTGTTTGCATAAACCTTGTCTATCTGTGCCATGCAGCCAAACTGCCCGGCGGACTTCCCATCATGCACAAACGGATCGTGTCAGCGGGAGCATGTCGTCAAGAGCACTGCATCCTACATGTCGCCGAGAAGCGGTCTCACATTAGCTTCCTGCTCTTCTCAAGCCGTGACTCACCGGCCCACAGGACGACAACCCCGTACCCTGCAAACTCTGCGCTAGCAAAGCTCCAATGCAGCTCCCAGGCACAATTTGGTCCATCTGTCGCAAAGGGAGCTGCTCCTTTGTTGTGAACGCTGGGCCTGCCGGCACCTCTCCGTTACCCCTAGACACTGTCTTTAGCTATACACTGCCTGCGGTCCAGCACACGATTCGGGGCTGCACCATGGAGAGATGAATGCAGAAGACGACCCACAGTCCAGCGCCTGGTAAAAAGACACAAATCATGTCTTGTTCAGCGTGAGTCTGTTGCTGCCGCTGGCCATGGCACATGGTCTCACGGCATCCTGGTAGATCCGTGTAATGATACTCTTGCGGTTCTCGCACACGACACATGCATCCACACATGCCCCTTTTGTAATGATCCCTGTCCATCTGCCTAGACTCAAAAAAACAAAAGCTCCATCAAATACTCCCGAGCAAGTCGACGGGAGCACAGACTGCCCCCCAAAAGATAGCCAGCCAATCCACCTGAGTAGGGCTGGCAGTCTTGCGAATCGCTGCATGCCGACGAACCGCATGACACCATGGAACTGGATTGCTTCCTTACGGATTTTACGGCTGCTGCCTCTGCAGCGGATCCTACAGTGTGTCCGTATGCGACTGTCCAGATCTGTCCAGAAGGATCCCAGGCTGAATCGGTTCGTGATGACGGAGAAGAGAAACTTGTCAGGAATCGCCAAGCCACAATGTTCCAGAATTGCAGGTAGTTCATGATACCATCAAACCCAATCCTGAGTTCCCGAAGTTCATCTGATAGGGAAGGAGAAGCACATTTCAGAATGCTGTGTAATGACGGAGTTCAAGCCTCTTTACACGCTCGAGAAGCCAAGTGACGAGAGAGCAGGCAGCAGTTCCTTGATCTCTGAATACAGGATGCGCATCAAGATGAGCATGAACAGCCTGGCCGTGGCTTTCTTTCTTCAGTAGACAGCTACGGAGCGAGCTTTCGCAACCACCGGGTTCTGTGGGCTAAAAAGGTTGAGGCCGGGTCAATTAGGGTCTGCCTGTAGTCATATCGCACGTAGCATAGTCTGACGAAATACGGCACGGGCGACAGATCGAGGCATCGAGGTGAAGGGCTGGGGTTTTGGGACGTGCGCCAAGAGGTGTGGACTCGGACTGTCGACTTCTCCGCCGTGGGCTTGCGACCGCAGGGATGATTGCAAGCGAGTCAAAACAACAGCGAAGAGGGATGTCGCGGGCATCTGTGCATTTTTACGGGGAAACGAGGGCATACGAGGGCAATCTTTTAGAATAAACACAGGGAGACCTTTGACCTGCTCTCGCATAGGCGAGGTTTTTTGTCACGCAAGACTTTACCAACGTCTGGTAGCAAAATGATGCTAAGCAGAAGCTCGGAATAAGCAGCATGCACTGCATGGGGCCACGCAGGAAAGAGCTAAATTCACAGACAGTGAAAGCCGTGAAGTTGCCACTAAGCAGCACGTCCGGCACGAGGCCAGAGAAGTCTTTGTAAGGCTCCGCCAGAAATGTCTCTGCAAACTGCACGTGTTTCGTGAAGCCTGAGCACTGTCTTCGGATTGGCAGAGGGCGCCTGTGTGGTTCGGCACTACAACTTCCCAAAATTGCATGCGCAGAACAGGCAGGATTATCATCGTGCATCGAGGGCGTGCAAAAGTAGACTCCTAGACGAACTGCCCTTCAGGCACCATCGACTCCATCACCTTTTGGTAGTGCTCGCATCAAAGGCTTTGTAACCGTGACGAGCGGCCATTGTTCTCGAATCTGAACGTGAGCTGCTCGAATGTGTACCTCATCCCACCACATGGGCGCCATTCAGGATCTCAGGCAACGTAAACCATCCCGACTCGATTAGCGGAGATGCGTGCCCAGAACCGGATTCAAGAGGACGGAATCAATATTGAGAGCAGTCGTGTTGTCATCCAACCTGGGCTTAATCAAGTGAGCTGTGAAGACCCAACCCTCAGATTGTGGAATCTAGACCTGGCAAATGTCCCCTTGGCGTCAATGGTGCGACCAATCTCAGACCTTAACATTGTGAAAACAAGGCACCAGTTGCTGTAGGTCCACTCGTCCATCGTTCTTCTGACTGAGTCGCTTCCTGGAGCAAGACACATAAGCATGTTCAAGCAAAGCAATCATGACTCTACACCACTGCTCTGGACTATTCTACCGGAACGCTTCCTACGAAATCCTACAGCTCTAAAGAACCAGTATCTGGAATGTCAGTGCAGTTGAAATAAATTTTGGAAGATTTCTTAAGTCAGACCTCCCGGAATATCTCTGATGACAAATGTTCCCAGGCTGTGGGGCGAGACTTGCTCTAGGTCGCAGCCGAGCGTCTCTCATGGTATAAGACCCACCTGTCCTCGTAGGATTCACTGCCCAGCTTAAAGCATTGCACCTGAGAGCCACGTTCCGTCAAACCGGTGCCCTTCGGTCACTTCTTATCAGGCAAGGCTCGGTGAGTCTTTGCGGAAAGGGATAGTAGACCCTTGGGTTTTTGGCACTTCAAAGATGCACGTTGAAGCACGACCACAGCCACAAGAACTGGTAGTGTCACTCCGGACATCTTGCCCAGAGCTACTGGGCATCTTCTGGACACAGCCTCCACTGCGGAGGAGACTCCGTTCCAAGTATTCCGGCATGCTGCAGTTTTGCGGCGTCGTGTAGAACCGCCTGAACTTGAAGCTTGGAGCTGTGGGGTTTTTACGTTCCACATGCTGCATGCACTGCATGCTCGAGCAGACCTCAGGGCTGCCATGGACTGTGACTGCCACATTTCATAGGAGAGCCCGGCCTGGCCTGAAGCGGAATCCGCCGATCACTTGATTCCGACCGAAGTAGCGCCCAGGCGGGTAGAGATCCAGGTCCTTCGCAACGTCAAGAAACCGAACTCACCGAAAATTTCTTGCATGAAACAACATCAAGGACGACGGAAGCCTTTCATTGACGTCAGGGTCCTGATTGAGATGCTGGGCGATCCAGGTGGTCACCAGGAAATCGTACAATGACAGTCTGTCATATAACCACGAGAGCCTGTAGTAACCTCTCAGCCAAGTCTTCCGCTAGAGCTTCCAAGCCTTTTCTGGATTTCTCGATTCTTTTCTGAGGGCTCAACCAAACACGGCTGAAGCCTCGACAACGGAAGCAAGTGGGCTCGGACTAGCGGATGGGGCCGGAAAGGTTTGCATGCAGTGCAGCCAGGTGTCTGGATAGTTCTCAGCAATCTCCCAGCCAGCTCCTGAGCACGGCGCTAATCCGTCCGAGCCATACAACAACTGGGAAGGTGAAAATCGCAACGCAGTTGCAGCATACCTCCCGCATTGGGATCCGAACTACGCTTGCGGGCCAAGTCTCGCATGGGCAAATGAGCGCTGCCTGTGTAGAGGAAGACGCAGAAGAGCAACAGCGTTTGAGGCAAAGACCAAAGGTCCTCAGCCCAAGCTAGAGCGAGAACTCGACATCGGGCTCCAATCGGAGCAATATGCTGGACGTCGTCAAACCTCATCCTTGATGTCCTGCTTCGTGTCTCCTGCATTGAACCAAGTTGCAGCATTGGTGTCGTATTCCTGCCTGTGAGACCGGCGTCCACAAGCAAGTGCAGTCAACATGCGCCCTTTGCACCAGCACCGCACGATGTGAAACTGGACTGATCCGACCTTTTCTTCGTCATCTGTCTGAATCGTGATGTCTACCGTTTCAACTTAGGACCTGATTAAAACTGATACGCTGCAGCAGCTCGTAGATTGCTCGCGGTGGTTGTTGGACATGTTTGCACCATCCACTCACTGATCTCACTGGACAGGGGGCCTCATCCACTCGATAAGATCATCGATTAAGCACTCCTCGGCAGGCAGAAGTGCAGTCAGTGCAGGCCTTACATCTCCCTTTTCCCGAACTTGAGGCCCGAGAGAACAGGGCAAGGCTCCCCTTCTGCGAGATGTTGCACATCGTTCTCTTCATTGATGGACTTCTTTATCAAGTTGTACGCAACCTCCGAGACAGGCGATACAGCTCCCAGCCCGGGCCGACTCGCCGCCGTCAGCTCTGGCCTCCCCTTGGATGAAGGCTTTGTAGAGCTCATTCACACTGATGAGACCAGAGCCATCTTTGTCCGCATCTCGTCCTAATGCTTTCTCTGTATGAGTCCGCATGAGGGATCAGTAGGACCTTACAGTAGGATGCTCGCTCCTAACTCAAGATCTGAAAACTCTCAGTTGCATAGAAACCTCGATGCCTGCAAGCTGATGGTTGCCGCGTCAGCTGCGTAACAGCTGCAGCTACTTGTAGCTTTAGGTGGACGGTGGTCTTCTCTCGACAGGCAGCTGGCCTAGTGCGGCAATGTCTTCCTTGGAGAGGGTGAGGCCTTGGACCTTCAGACAGCACCGTGGGCCGTGAGCACGAGGCCTGTCTGCCTGCCTTCTTGATCTCCATAAGCTCTTCCATGGAGATCTCCCCGGACCCTTTCAGAAGAGATAATGCCATATGTGGCAGCGAAAGGTTCCGGATGAAGAGCTGCAACAGCATTCAGCTAGTAGCCACGATGTTATTTTAAACCCAGGGAAGTCGAACGCACCATCAGACAGACGGGCAGATTTGTGAAGCTTGCATGTCACAACAGCATGCCTGTGCTCGTTTCTGCAATGTGCAGGCTTTAACCACTTTCAGCAGGCCTTCCACATCAAAGATGGCGAACAACTCATGGACATCTGCCACCGTCACCTGCATCCGCATCCAGGCTTCCCCAAACACGGGGTTAACACATCTTCTTCCTACTGATGATAGCAGGTACACTGTTCACTGCTGATTGAAATTGGCCAGATGAGAAGGCAGAGAAACGGTGCGAGATGTGAAAACGGCTGCGTGAAGAGGTTGCACTTCCAAAGCGAGCGACATTGATAGACTCGCAAGTCACATGTCTAATGCATTGCTTCAACATGTTCGAAAAAACGTACAGTACCACACAACGTTTCAAGTTGCACTTGCTTCTCAATAATGAGATATGCGACCGTCACTGCATACGGAACACATAAGAAGCAAATATGCTTGACGAGAAGTCCATCTTGCAAACATGAATGTGATCTCTTCCATGCCTGGCCCCGGTGCTCCGAACAACGGCCCTCATCAGGACCTGATAGAGCTTCCCGGAGTTCAGCTTCGGCCACAGCGCCAGGTGCTGCAGCTTCTCCCGCCGGGCCTGGCGAGGCATGTCGTCCCGAGCTCAAGGGCACCACGCTGTCAGTACCAAGTCGGGAAAGGGATTCAAGGTCTGGCAAAATCTACAAAAAAGAACCCCCCGCCCTCCCCAACACAAGGACGACAAAGGGACGCAGGACTACTCGAATAACGGAATCCGGACTCGCCTCCACCAGCTCCTCGGCTGACAGGTTTTGGAAGACATCCGTCGGCAGAGGCTCCATGGCTTCCACTAGCCCACATTGCACAGACTCTCCCTCTTGCCCATGCTTTCAGTACTCAGAAGGCTAACTACTGCTACGAACGGAAAGCTCGAGAATTTGGTAGTCCAGTTGCTGTTTCTCAGGAATGGCCGAGCCGTCATGTTCCAACACCCGCTCAATAATGACCAAGCTGTCATGTTCTAACACCCTCGCTCACACCGTCTGCACTGGAATACACTGATTTTCACTCCGTAACTTAACCACCAACTGAAACTGGCAGCGCGAAAGGCCTCGTGACTCAACCCCTGCATCAAGGTCGGATGCTTCAAAGCACAATTGAGGTTTTCGCTCTGTCTGCTGCTCTGATGGTGCGCACGATGGATGCTCGAGTCCCGCAGCTTTGATATTCAGACCTCAGTCTCCTCTCCTTGGTGCGCCTTCTGCAGGCTTACTGCGAAGTGCTGACAGTTGATGGAAGCACAGCATTAGTGTTGTTTGCCATTTCATGGGCACACAAACGCGGTAACATCCCGAGAACGAACTTGAACTCTTGTCGCGCTCTTATCTGATGTTTCGCGAATGGGTTTAAACACGTCACATTGCGCTCCTTCTGAGCGTGGTAACCACCCCCACACCTAGCTGGGGTGTTTGCGACATTTCGAATCCACCACGAACTTGCTTTGTGCAGTTGGTTGCGAACACAACACTTGCTTCTTATACGGACTCTTGGCAGTATCTTGGCGGAGCTCTACATCTCATTAGCTTTGACGGTGTAGGCTGTGCAGGCAGCGCCTTGAGACACACAACACAATGATATGATCCTTGTTTTTCTGCATCCTCACCGTGTCAGAGACAGGGGCGGATCACTGCGAACCAGCGTGGATGATCAGCTGTCCTTGTGGCAACTGAGCGAGAGCAAAGGTGCGGCTGTAAACTTCTGTCAGACTGTCAGGCAGACTTTGAGGCACGGAGATCGCACTGCAAGCAGCCAGATTCCATATCAACATGGCCACAAGCTCTGTGCGACCGAGATTCTGGGCGTAACCGCTCTGACAACGGCATCAGTGAGGTTGGAGACTTAGTGAGCAGAAAGCGTCACACCCCGATTGTGCTGTAGTACTACGTAGCAGGCTCCGTGGTGCTTACACTGCCCTTGCAGCTCAGCTTGCTGATTACTTTCTCGCTCTCTTTCTCTACCAGGTGGGAGGCCCACGGAACCAGCCCTGAACCACGCAGGGTGCGCACCCGCGGTCCTCGGGTGTCTTTTTCCTTCACGGGTATGTCCCCCTTGAAGGCTCGGCTGTACGGAAACTTGAGAGAATGCACCCGCATGGCTTGGCGGGTTTTGACTGTTACATGGTAGGGGCTTGATCCCCGGTCTGAAACAATGGACAACTCTGGAAAACGCAACCTCACAACTACGCGACCGCATTCCCCTCTCACACTCTGCAGCGCCGCTACACCACGTCAAGTAGGGCCCCGGCCAACTGCAAAGAAGCACTTAACAGCAGACTGCAGACTGGTGTGTGATTCGGCTTGTTTGCGCATGTCATTGCTCCTTCCTATACTTACTGTAACGAGAATTGAATTGCGACCTAGGAGCAGTGCGGGACTATGGCAGGCTAAGACCCGCGAAGACGGTCCCCCGATCGTCAGTGTAGGGTGAACTTGGAAAGGCGGGGGCCTTGAGCTGCTTCGAGCGAGTGATATCAGATGACATTGGAGGGAACGAAAGTGAATTGGGGGCCTCCTTTGCTCCCTTGAATTCAGCACCATACGTGTCACGGAGTGATTTGCATCGGCGGTGTGTTGAAAAGAGCCGGGGATTGACGGTCAAGGTCCGGCCGAGTTTGCAAAGAGGTTTACATGAGTAGGGCAAGGTTTCCCCCGCCAAAAAGGATTTCACGCCAAACGCCACACATACGTTCTAGACAACATGCACACGTTGTGCTCTCTCACCGTCTGCTGAACCGTCACATCTCGGCACATGTTGGTCTCTTCGTCTCCGGCTCCTCTTCTTGTGGTCGGACGGTTGCGCTTCTCCCCCGTCTGGGTCTGCTTCTTCGCTTCGTCCCCTCTTTGCGCTGTGCTTCCTCTATGGCCTTCTTGAAGACTCTTTTTGGCCCACTTTCCACGGGTGCTTCTCCACATAGAAACGAAGCTCCTCCTCCATGCACGGGTTATGCTCCCCCACTAATAGCCAGAAGCCGGTCCTCATACTCCCCCGTCCTTCCGTTTTTTCGGATGGGCGGTCCAATCCACATGTCCAGCGGGCTAAGGTCGTAGAGGAGTTCCGTGCCTGTTCCGTTTCAAACCTGACATAGTCGGACAACGGTCTGCTTTTCCTCTTGCCTTTGTTGGCGTGTTGCGCGGCCTCTCCCCCGGGTCCTCTGGTCAGTAGGTCGTTGGCATCGTCCTCGTCCATCTTTCTGCGCAAGTCACATGATCGTCCCACGCTGGCAGGCTGCCGTGTGGCCACCTTGTACTTGTAGCACATGTCCCCATTGTCGTGGGGCTTGTGGTAAAAGGGCCCATCTGGGCATGCGTTGCAAGACACCCCCACGCACCCCCGCGTCACGAAGCCTGCATTGCTCCCCCCACGTAGTGTTGATCTTCGACGGCCTGGTCGAGCGGTCGCATTGCGGTTTGGAACTGCCTTTCCTTTTCTCCCCCCTTATTTGGGTCTGCCGAAGAGCGTGCCATCGTTGAGGCCAAGGTACAGGTAGTGCAGGCCGAGCCCCCGGGCTCCACGCTGAAATAGTATGCCTCTTGCCCCTACTGGCAGGCCACCCTCCTGAAGGAGGGGCCGCGGTCAGGTTCCGAGGAAGGCTTGGGCACAAAGGGGCCCCTTAGGCAAAACGGCATCGGTGCAGGACTCAAGAGCCGCCTGGGGGCAAGCACGAAGCCTCCCGTGAGTGCACGGCCTCAGGTTAACCTCGTGCCTGCCCAGCAACAGGCCCCCAAGAACAAAGGTGCCTCTCCCTCTCTCCCCCTCCCTCATGACAACTGTCTGAACATGACAATGACCACCCCTCCAACATAGCGACCGCTCAGTGCACATGCTTCAGACGAGCAACCACGCAGATTGCTGGCCAGCTTGGACCATGTCCGCTGCCGCCAACTTCGAGTAAGCTCTCCGAGGACTGGGATCCCAAGTTCGGATGTCGCCTCCCTCCAAGCTCCAGGCAAACCGGCACGACAAAGCTCGCAGAATGAAAGTGCAAGGAGCATTCAGATGTGCAAAGAGCCAGCCTGCCTGGGCTTGACGCTTGCGGAGAGGAAGCCCTCCGAAAAGCTGCACCCAACGTGGCTCCGCGTGGGGTTTTACAGTTCTCATACCGCTAGAAGCAGCATTCTTGCACCCTACGAGTACTGTCCACTTGTCTAGTGTCCACCGTACATGTCACTGCATGACTCTCTGGAAGTCTTCCATTCAACATTCCAGCTGTCCGCATTCCGGAAAAGGTGCCAACCTCGACCCCAGGTCAACAAACACAATGACGCGGTTCGCGCCCCCTTCCTGTCCTTGCCTGCAGAACCCTGAAATCATAATTAGACATCGGCCTCCGTAATCGTCGACAGAAGGTCTAACACTGAAACAGTGATCTAAGGTACGTCACGAACGTTGAAGATGCAGCCGCCGTAGGATTCCCAATCTCCAAGCCGTGCACGGCGCTGATCTAAAATACTACCGACAGGGGCCACCTGCTTCTCAAGAGAATCTGCTTCTCTCAATGACTCAAGAACCAAAGACAAAACTGGTGAAGTGTAGTCGAAGCAGGCTGCCCAGAGCCCATGAGCTGTGTTGACACCGCAGGCGCGAACATGCGACAAGGACAGAGGCCTTGGACGGGACTTGCGCAGGACGCAGGATGCAAGAAGTTTCACGCTTGGGTGGTGCAGACACTATCAACTTCTATATGAGCGCTGCCTTAGTGACATCGACACATCACTTCGGCACCCTTGCTTGCCAGTCCAAGTGAAAAAAGGTTGCTTGCCCCAAGTGAGCAAATGCTTGACAGGCCCAGGTCTTGCTAAGTTTACTCAAGAGTCTTTCAAAGATCGCTTACTGCCTCTACCTAGGGTCTGATCCGAAAAATGTGCTCCTCATAACTCGTGCGGAGGTCGGATACTAAACTCGCCAACCTAGCGAACTGGCCATGGTGGATGTAGGCGGGCAAGTTGTGCGCGGGAGAGGACTGTGGCAGAAAGCGTTTTTTGCAAGGCTGTCTGTTGGATGTTACACCACCTTGCTTCCGTTAAACTGCTGCAGAGCCCAACCCCCATCGCCTGCACGAATATATAATACTTGCGTCCATGCCACTGCAAGCTTTTGGCACGTGTCAAAAACTGTTGTCGAACAATTACACTATGCTTTCCGTCATGCATGTGACCGACAGCCGCTTCATGCCTGAAGCCCATGCTACTCCATAGACACCAAACCCTCACTCCAGCGATCTCCGGTGTATGTCTCAGCTCTTGCTTATTCAAGCACCCAAATACCTCTTGGAGTACGATCGCATCTGCGATTGCATCTGCTTGGGACCCGAGATTTCCGAAAGTACGGCAGTGCACTGTGAGCTTGACGCTCTCAAGTGCAGTGGGAAGGGCTGAGGGAGCCTACAGTGAAAAGAAGCCGTACCCGAATCCGCAGATACAGGTTGAGACTCGAGACCGACCCGCATCCCTTCCCACTTCTGTGGAATTCAGCGCTCCTTCCGGTCTGTCCCCTCGGTGGGCAAAGGTTGAACTTGACACTCGCATACACTCGCTGTGTGCAGGACTCAACAACGGCCCCTCCCCCAACTGTCCTGAGTCACGGACGAAACTGACGCCAGCACGACGTCAAGTGCAAGGTGCACAGTAAGCCGAAGTAAGCTGGAAGCTTCAAAGTAGCACAGTGTGGTGCAAGCCCGCGCAGAGGAGGCGCAGCCGGGTGCGCTGTGAGCGAACACTCCCTGTACCCAGCAGCCACCACAACAGGCAAAATAGGTCTGGAGAAGAACATGACCAAAACACACGCCAACATACTCTATAATACACAGAGAGAGAGAGAGACATGAAACTGTGTCAGTCTTACATGTACATGTCGTTATGCATGCACAATACGATGAAGATGCGATTCTTGTGATGGCTCCCGGGGCAGCGCGAGGATTTGGCTGGCCAGCGTCTTGTTGAAACTGAAACCGCGGGCTTGCAATGATGCGCTAAACGTCACGAGCCCAATCTACACACCTTACAGAAGCAGACCGACCATGGTCTAGGCAGTAGGGATGGCCAGTCCCATAGTGTACTGGAGCTCGGCGACTGTGCTAGAACATCTCCACGACATGGCACGAGAACTGTCAAGCCCTCTACACACGCTCACTTCCATCATACAGCATCGAAGAAACTGAAGCCACCAGCGATGCTTTGCCCAGTGGCTGCACTGTGTGCATCGGCGTGAGAGATGATGGCTTGAAAGCGTCCTGTGGTAGCAATTGCCATGCCTGCAGCGATAACGCAATATCGCACGCTTCTCACAGTGAAGGACCCGCCACCTCTCACGGGAAACCAGTTGCAGAGCACCAGTTTTAGTGCAGATACTGCTAAAAGGCTGTGAGAGCCCGCCTTAGCCCGTGGCCTCGGAAGATGCCACGAACAGTAGCGATCTGTGAGACAGAGATGGTTGAGTTACAGATTCCTACCCTTTCTGGGTTTTTGGGGAAGAGAGTCGTTAGATGCTGGACTCAATGGCCCAACGCCGGTTGCAGCGATCTGCGACAGGTGCCCACGATTCAGCTAGGGAATGCTGGACTTCCACAGAGGCACTTGTGACCAGCTTGGCTTCCTTCTTCGTTTGCCGTACTTGAGAACCTGTCGTGCTTAGGCATGTCGTTCCAGATGTTGCCTTCAAGTTTCCTCCATGTTCGGAAGTCGCATGAAAGGCCCTACGAGCCAGCACGAGCGGACGTTCGCGACCGGCCCGGCTTGCAGCATTGCAGAGGCTTGCACTGGTGAAGGCCGTAGCTACGGAATCCCGGACTGCCCATCTACGTCAGAAAGACAGGGAGGACGTGCGATACTGGCCTTCCCAATGCAAGCCGAAACGTCGCAGGAATTTGCCTGTATTAGTGCCTTTTCCTTCCACACTTTCTGCAACACTTTCGACAACACTTCTACATGGTGACTTGAGCCTTTTCGCAGAGGTGTAACTTCCCGGCAAGTCTTCCCGTGACATGCGGGTGTCGAGATTTCCAAAGAAATCGGACCCCTTTTGCGAAACGTCCGAGCCCGGAAGGCATCAGAGGCGAGTGAAAGACCATACGCTACGCATCATTGTTTCAACTCGATCGCTCTGAACTCCGAAGCGAGTCTGATTGTCCAGGAGTGATATACGACAAAGACCCAAAACCGTGAGGCCTAAGCCTACTGGCCTTGTCTCAGCTCCTCTGCGATGGCCTTCGGAACTGGCTGACGTTCAAGTGCTTAGACACCACCCAAGGTTGAGCCGCACGCTCAGCACTCAGGTGATCAGAGTTTTTTACAGAGGCGTGCAACCTGACAGCAGGAGCTCAGCAACCAGCAGATCAAACGTGCCAAGTCGAGACAAGATGTGTTGCACCTTCACAGCTTAAGCTTTTGGTGAAAGCAGCATGAAGCCTCGCACGTCTAGATGTGATGGGCTCTGCCCGGCTCCGAATGCGGCGGATGCACGGGTTGCCTTGGCCAGGCGAAGCATCTGTCTCGAAAAAGGAGGTGCGCCTCTCACGCAAGCTTTCTCCAACTTGCTCGGGCTCTTACAAACCCCTTGGCAGAACGACCAGGCTTAACGGCTGCACTTTGCCTATGGCCAGCTGAACATCTACCCTTCTGGTGGCACTCCCTCGTTTAGGGTGTTGGCCGTATAGAAACTGCAGCCAGATGAAAAGAGGATACATGTTGGGAAAACTTCCAGTTGGAGAAACAACTAGCCAAGATCGCACATCACAATGCCGGCCCTCCTGGCGAAAACACCAACCTAAAGCATCTTGTCTTCGCCGAGCTGCGGCAAAGTCGCCCGCATGGACAAGGCCTTCTGCTCTCTGATGCCTGGGAGTTCTTTTCTCCAAAAAGCCACTGTATCCCTGTACAGTCGAGGCACCGGGATCCAACTCGAGAAGGCAGCCCAAGATCTCCTCAGCACTGCGCACACCGCCGCACCGCGTTTCCTCCCCCTCGCAAGAGTGCCTTGTACTCCGACGACATTCGGCCCTCCTCCGCAGGTTACAGCGGCATCCGCATGCATCCGCAAGAGTTCTCTCCTCTTCCTCTCTTGCTGAAAAGGAAGGGCACGGCCTTGGAAGCGGGGCAGCGGCGGTCTTTCAGCAAGCTCTGCCTCGGCTCTTCCCGGCGCCCCGGGGTTTCTCCGACGGCTCCCTCCAAACACCTACAAGCCGGCTGAGACGCGTCAGACGTCAAACTGACCCCAAAAGACTTGGCCCAAGCGGCACCCCTTGGCTCTTGGCGAAGGAGAAGGTCTTGCACTTTCCCGGCCTAGGAGCGTGGTCAGCTGGGAGTGCTTTCGAAGAGCTGTTCTGAGGTTGTGGCTCGCAGCCGTGCTACTGCACTGGCAATTTTAGCAACCAGGTGGAAGACTCATGCATCACGCATCTGTACACTGTACACCTTGCCGTGCTGCGCAGACCTGGGGCCTGCGCCGAGTGCTGAACCTGAGAACGAGAGCCACCGAGCCATCACACCCCTCCCACGTGCACTCGCATGGTCCCGTCTTAGCACTAGCCCTGAGATGCGGCGAGAAACCACGGATACCGGCCCATGGCCAAAGCGTAGCCCAAAACGCCACAGGAGAAGAGATCCTTGGTAATCAACCGCAGGAGTGTGGAAGGTTCTACCCGGAAAGACGGTCTGGATCTGCAGCATGGCAAGTGGCCTAAACCGTTCTCACTACATCAGGAACGAGTCAGAGGCCCGCACTACACACTACACCCCGTCCCACCCGCACTACACACTACACCCCGTCCCAGAAGACCAGCTTGATAAATATGCCGACAACAACGACAAAAGCGAAGGAGAAATAGACGAGTAGCAGAAGAACTACAATCAAGAGCAAGAAATATGCATGTAAGAAGTCCTGCGGAGACAAGGAGCACCGGAGCACCAGCGTGACGCCGTCGAACACTATCTGTGTTCACTCTCAAAAGCAACAATAGCAATACTGATAGTCGTAGAATGTGAGAGTCAGCCATCCCCGCAGAAGGAATAGCATTTAAGAAGAATACTATCTACTAGCAGTCATCATGAGACCCAACTCTTAATGCTCCGGCCAGCCACCCCGGCGTGCGTGGGTGTCGTGCTTTGCCCCTCGACTAGCTCAGGAGCGACGAACATGGCGTCGCAGCCTGCAAGAAGGCTTTAAGAATTTGGGAAGTTCGGCTTCGAGGGCGCTTCACGGGGCTGGCCCTACTCTTAGCTTTAGGGCGGCTTGTTTTGGGACTTTGAATTCAGGGCTTTGCTTTCTTATGCCATGCAGAGCCTTGGTCCTCCAAGCTGCGCGACTGCCCGAAGTCAGACAGCAAAACCTCAAGCTTTCTGCACTTTTCTACCCTCTGCTACACATTTACTCGGCCTTCTACTGCCTTCACAACAGAAAACTAAGAGGAACGCCTTGCAGTCCCCGTTGGGAAGGTGCTGGAGCCACGTGTTCTCGGCCCGAATGCGGCCGTGCCTCGGCCACAGAAGCCGGCGGAGGCAAAGCGCCGGAGCTCCTGCAGCCAGGAGGCGCCATGCCGAGGGAGTCCAAGTCCACGGTCGCCTGGATCAGGGACCTCCACAAAGGGCGCCGACGTGTGGGGACGCGACGGGACGGTTTCGGCCAGCCGCCTCAGGATCGCCAGTGCCTCGGCCTCGCGGGGGCTCCCCGGCACAGGCAGCGCCACACAGCGGTCGAAGAGCGAATCCCCGAGCTCCTCCCAGCGCCACGGCCACACAACGCAACTGAGGCAAATCGAGGCCTCATCGCAGACCAGGAGCACCGCCCCACTAGCGCCATCCTCTCCGGAGCTGAGCTTCTGAGAAGGGACAACGGGGGCATGAAGTGAACTACAAGTTTCCGGGCACTTGCAACCCACAGCCGTTCTTTTTGCCTATGATCGTCATCATGTTTCTCACGTACATCGCGCGCTCGTCCACGAACACAGGATGGCATAGGGCCACTACTCCACCAAGTGTACAAATCAAGCTTGCACCTCAGAGTGCACAGAAGGCTGGCTTGGAGAGTGGCTCCCACGCGAACTCACCAGGTTCGTGGAAAAAGGAAAAGCAGTAAAAAAGCAAGACAACTCACTTCCGACACCGGCTAGAGAGACCTCTTGGTCTCAAAGATTTTTCGGAATGGCATCTGAAAGACGCCACGAAGCTGAATGCCGCAACCCCCTCCTCAAACAAACCCGATAGGAAACGAAGCTAACCGAGAACTTTCGCTGAAGTCGGCTTCACAGATGACAACATGCCGTAATCTGTAAGGGGGGAAACACACCGGCGATTTCAGCACGATTCTAAAGAAATGCCTCCTAGTAAACAGAAGCAGAAAGCCACTCTTCATCTACAGCACTGTGAGGGCCGTGCCTGGTAAGCACCCGAGCACCATGAATCGCTTGGGCAGGAAGGTGCAACTCCTTGGTCGCGACAACAACTTGAATTGAACATGCTGGACTGAAATATTGCGGTGCTTCCCGGGTGGATAAACAAGCAAGCGACCGGCCAAGTACTAAGCAGGAGTTCGCAGACTCTTCTTGGGTTGTTCATGTTTCACAAGTTTGGCGTCGAAACTTGCAACCAAGCTGTAGCCTTGACTCTGACCGGGTCGTTTACTTTGATTCGCTGGCTGCCATTGCGCTCATGAACACGAGAAGACAGAGAACAGCAAGAACCCCTACATCGTGCAGAAAAAGTTGCCGAAAGTAATCCTAGGCCTTCAACTTCCAAGAAGTATCCAGGTTGCAAACGCAAACGCAAACCATCAGTAAAGTGTTGTAACGTTTCGGCGACTTCCTCGTTCACTCTTGTGCTGCCTCAGGATTTTGAGGCGCTGTGGGACTCTTGGCCAGTTCTGCTATCTGTGCATGACCTGCTTTGGCAAAGGATGGAAAAATGGCTGCTGTCTTCCTAGTACTTCACAAACATTGCGAAAGACTGTATCCTACACCCGCTTCGTACAGTTTGTGCAAACTAAACCCATCAAACTCAAGTTCAGAACAAACAAAAAAGTAGGCTGCTTGAGGCTCAAGGAGGCTAAGCGGAAGTGTCCGCTGTGGAGTTGACTGGTTCAACGGGCTGCAGAAGCGCTATGCTTCTGCGTAGGTGAGCCCTCCTCGCTCACGGTACAAACGGGCGTGCCCGTCCAAAAAGAGGTTTCCGGTATTGGACTTGACATGCACAGTTTGCCGAGGCATGCAATTCCTCAGCTGGTGCTGTCCCTGGGCCTGCTCGCCACTGCTCGCATTCCTTACCGAGCCTCTTGCCCACAGGACCGAGGCCAAAGAGCCACTCTGGCACACCTCACCCTTACCCAGCACGCTCTAGACTGGCTGCTGCCCACCAGCAGGTGGACAATCGTTTCGACACGTAACCCCGACTTTGCGAGTTCGTTAAATTCAAACGCACAGAAGCGATAACCGGGATAATCGTGCTGTGACAGGGTTTGCACCACGCCGGCCAATGTCCCACCAACCGAAATCCAGATGAAGCCTACTCCCATTGCCTTCATCGTTCACGCCAAGGGCTGCACTAACGCCCTTGCCACGGCCCGCAACCCGCAGTGGAAGAGCAAGGCCGATTCTTGGTGGGCTACTCGAAGTCCGCTCACACGCCAAGCACACGTACGGAGACGTCAGACGCCAGCATCATCCAACGTAACGATCACTTCTGCCTGGCTTGGTGACCGACTGCTCGTCCCACGCGAAGTTGTGCGGATCTGGTCTCAAACGTATCCATCCTCCTTCCTGCTGCTGCCACTAGCTAGTGGGCCGCCTCCGCCGCATGCCTAAGTCCATAAACAAACACAACCACAGAGCAGCGTGGCTGGACACAGCATGCTGGCAGCAAAATCCGACGTGTCTTAAGCCGTGGGTTCGGACGGCCAACCTTTTGTTTTGTCCTGCCGCTTGCAGCGAAGTTCCAAACTTGCCAACTTTCCGATGGCAAAGGTGAGGAGTACACTGGGTACACCTGTCCAAGCCTGATATGCCAAACCTGCACTCACACTAGCCAGAACTATCTTGTGGGTGGAAAAATGTCAGACAGCTACATCCCCAAGTTTTCCCAAGACCTGAACAAGCTATCAAATGCCGAAAACGGCCGCCCAAATCCTCGGACCCGGCCATCAACACTGCCTGAGGATGGTGCCACCCGAGCGCTCAAGCACGAGGATGTCCTTCCATGCCGCACAACTTTCACGCTTGGTTTCAGGACTTTGGACGCAGGACTCCAACGACCCGCAGCGCATGTGGTCTGTCAAGCATTCCACAACCAGCACTTTCATCTTTCGTCGAGTTTAGGAGGCATATGCTCCAAGCACATGCTTCGGGCATGGAGGAGGTTGAACAAAGAACGGAACTCAGACGAAACGCCCTGTGTCGATCGAGCGCTCTCTCACTCTTTCGTTCTCTGTTCGCGTGTCTCTCCCCTACCGTGCATCAGAAGTAGCACGTACGCCTGGGCCAGTACACATCTTTCGAAAGGGTGGAGATCACACAAGTAAAAATGCAACTATTGATGTAATACCAAAAGTCACATATGATTTCATATAAACATACATAGTACATACATATATACAAACTTGCATGCATACATTATACATTACATTACATTAC